AACTGCATAAATCACCAGTTTTATCGGTATTAGTGATAAAAAGCGGCACTTTAATGAATCAGAGAATATGATAAATCCCTTCTAAGCTGGCTGATTTCAAGCTTTTTCTTAAGAGGCTTGGACAGCTTTGCTGGGATTGTGAAACTAGAGTTACTATATGAATCTAACACATAAAATCCACCTCTTCAAGAATTTTTTTCCATACCCTTGACTATACAGAGACATGCAGCACATCTTTATTACCAACTTTCTTCATTTCATCCTTATGTCTGGATCGGGACGGGTAGTCCAAACAGGAGGCAGTGCCAGTGGGGCCTCTGAGCCAGGTAAAAAGAGCTTTCTCTGTACTGGGGAAGAAACTGCACTCTTTTGAGGATGGGGATAAATAGGATGAAAGGCAGAGTTGCCATAAAGTACAGAATATTAACAGAGTGTGGCTATACTGGGCACGTTGCTCCCTCACTGAGTGTGTGCTATTTAACACTGTCAGCATCACAAAGGCAGACTGAATAACTAGTACAAATAGATGGATATAACTTTTGGTTTGCATCCATAAAACAGTTATATGCATTTTGAATTCAGAAATGTAACAAATCATCGGCTGCCTAAAGCCATTGTTAGCGCTTACCTTTAAAATAAAATTGCTTAAATTAACAGAACACAACCTTTACCGGCTATGTAACATTTTACTTAGTAATTACAAGTTCCAGACATGATACAGAATGTACCGAATTCAAGTATAATTACAAAACAAAGAACATATGCAGATAAGTATTTACATGTCTACCCCTCACAAATCAAAATGACTTCCCCATACTAATATGGAGTAACCAAGACACAGAATGAAAAAGCCAATACACCAAAAAGCAAGAAGGGCTCCTAGGGGAAAGGGGAGGACATGAGGGAGGGTGGTGAATTTGATTAAAAGGCTGCATGGAAAAATAAATTTCAGCTTTGACATTGCCCTTTGAAAGTTGTACCACCAGTGAAAATCCTCACTCTCGAGTTTCAAATTTAATACAATTTTGGCAATAGCCAAAACGCTTTCCAAATGCTTTAGGCATTTTTCAAATGCTTCTCACTTAGTCCTTCAGCATATTTAATTTGAAAAGAAACTTACAAAATCCCCTTTATATTACATCATATATACATCATTGCAGTGTTTTTCTTCTGACTTCAGATTTGAAGCAGCTGATCACAACCTCAAAAGTTTTAAATACAGTCTAAATTTAGATTACAAAAATCAAACTTATGTTAGATTGTGGATCTGTATTCCACTATTTTACCAGAGACTTTCTTCCCATAACAGCACTTTGAATGATGGCTATACAAAAATTTGACTGGGCTTACTGTTAGTATAATACTTTTAAAAAGTAACCAAGACTCTATTTTAATTGGTGGCTTTGACTTACACAGAAAAAAAATGTACACAAGTACTTTATGTAATACAGAATATTTTCCGTCTATCTATAGTAATCTGCTATAGTATTTGTCTGTGGTATTTAAAAAACATACATTGTTTTCAGATTACATTTTAAATGTTTTAGCTATTTTTCATAATGTTATTCAATTAGAAATCTTGTTTATCCACAGATATTTAAGCAACTTGAAAAATACGGACTAACGTGTTCAGCAATGATTATAGTCCACTACAAGAATTCTGTAGACATTGGAGCACCTTTTTTTCCATAACATGTTCAGTATAGTTCAATCATTTCCTGTCTAAAAGAATTCATTCATTTTCTCTTTAATTCACTTCAGCTCCCATTTCCACAATTAACATTCCTCACCATACACTCACCAAACACATACCTCACCAACAAAGCTCCAGACTGAGATTACACCATCACCCTTAGTTGTTAATCTAAGGACAAACAGGTTTGTACTTGTTTCAGAGGACAAACAGGTTTGTACCAGCAAGGCTGAGCACCATATTAGGACACAGTTAAACAGAGGCACACCGATTTTCAGAACAGGAAAAAAACCATGAGTTTTTGCTGGGGGTGGAAAGAAGGAATTACCCAACTATAGGAATATTGCTAAAAGAAAGAATGTCCCACTACCTAGTTTTATGCATTCTAATAAAAATATTCATTTCTTAACTGTTTCTTTCTTCTCCAATCATCATTTCTCATTTCTGGACAAGTTTTTTAGATTGTGTTCATCCTTTCCTTTTCTCAACTGCTCAATATCTTGGATCTTCTTCCTTCTTTGTATTCTTTTCTATTTACCACACACTTTTAGTTTGTTTTCTTTTGCTTCAGCAAACCCTGACTGACTGCAGTTTCTACAGTCCATACAATCACTCAGAGCTCCTGGTGCATTTTATTTTCCTCAAAGGACATGTATTTCAAAAATCTGACTATTGTGCTTCAAACCCTGGATTCCTATTTCTTTTTTTTTTTTAATGTAATAAAGATTAGTCTACTTTTGATCTTACTTATTTGTATCTCACTAACAAGAAAGGAAAAATTACTTAAGCTGCACAATCCCTCTATAAAAAAAAATCTTTTTGGTACATCTCAACTTTTCATTACATTATGCAGGTAAACTTAGACTTGAAATTCATTCCTGGGAGAAAGATAATCACTTCAAAATGTTATCTTTTACAGAAAAAAAAAACTACAGAAAAACATATTATTACTATCCATCCAACCTGGACTTTAGCTACATTAAGATCATTCAGTATATTGGAACACTAAAACAATTTTTTTAAACATCGCGAGTTTTACAGAATTATGAGACACTGCACAGCATGTAAGCAATCCTCCACAAAGCAGAGAGGCCAGTATTATTTTGAACACAATTTGAAAAAAACAGAACGTGCAACGCCAGTCTACAAAAATAAATTCTTTTAAAACACTGCACGTTAATTGAAAAAAACCTAAAATATAACTTTATTGTTAGGTAAATCCCTACTACTTTTCTTTAAAATCAACACAAAAGTCATCATGTAATTGCATTTATGATAAAGAAAAAAATCCACTCCTCCACACTTTGTAAGTTTTCTTTAATTCTGAGGATTCTATAATGTAAATGTATTTGCTAATAATTTAAAAAGAAAAAGAAAAAAAAACAACAACAAAACACATTAAAACAAAAGCAAACTTCAGTCCTGGACCCACATCACCTCAAGTTTTGACTATAAACATGGTTAAAGAAAAAAGCAGTAAAAATATCTAATGTGTTAAAAACAATCTGCAAATTGTAACATAAAAATTAAAATGTAACAGCTTGGAATTACTTTTCCTTTCCAACCTGACAGGCTCCATGAATCACTATTTTCCATCCTGCATGACATGTAAACTTACAAGGTACTGCTGAAACCAGTCTGCGTGCCTTTTTGTGCTACATCACCATCCAGGGCACTTTAAAAATGGAACTGGGTCCTCAAACTGCTTGACTGTAATGTACTAAAAAACATTCAAGTTCTGGCTTCTTAAATTTATCATACTGTGTTGCTATAATCAATAATGTAACTGGGAAACAAGGAACTGAATTCTGCCTTGGAATACAAACAGAATGTGTGTGGATGGGTATTCTTCTGATGTAAGTAAGGAAATTAGGACCAGAATTCAGATGAATTACATCTCTGATGAATTAAAAAAAAAAAAAAAAAAAAAAACAACATTTTTAGAGGCTCTTAGAGCAGATGTCCTGTAAGAATATACTCATATCTCCTTTTGAAAACAACATGGGAACCCTTTGCTATTGACATAACATTTACTACCCTCAAAGGGAAACTTCTGCCCTGCAAAGTGCTTACTGGCATTACTCATTCATCAGTAACTCCAGCACACAAACCACTTCGATCACGTTGGCTGTCTTCACTAACCTCCACAGGAAGAATTATTTTCCCAGTTTTACTTCTCTTCAGGTTTTTAAGATTTCTGGAATGACTGGCTTACTAACATGTTTATTCAAATTCAAAATCTATATAAATATTCTAGGGAAAAGAAAACAGAGTATGCGTCACCAGATTCCAGTGCTCTTCATGAATAAGACTAATGCCAGCACAGTGCATACTGAGATGAGATGAATTTTACATGGCAGGGTGAGGAGAAAGGTAAATTATTTATAAGGTGCCTTATTTATTTGATACGGGAGACTTCCAAATTATCTTTAAACTGCATTTCAAATCATCAGGCTTAAATATACTAACTAGTTCTACAATAGGAGAAAACCAGATAAAGCAAGGGGTTTTTTTGAATTAGCCATATTAAGGTATTATGCTATAAAGAAGCCACCAGTGAATAGGGATTATGGACAAAGATACTGAAGAGATCCTTTCACCCACAGTTACTGTATGGGAAGTCCCGTCTGTAATTTAACCCTGGAATGTTTTTCTACTTAAAATGACCAGCATGCAAAGTGCTTTGCAGTTGCCAAAAAGGCATGCTATTTCAAATTCTCATAATTCACTGGTAAGTGACACTTAGTATGAAAAAACACATTCTAAAAAGCTTTTAGTCAAATCTGGACATATTGGTCTCCACAATTATTTGCTACAATGCTTATAATTTAATCTTAAATTGATTTTTGAAGACTTGTGTTTCATACCAACACTACTCTTTCAGCAAGTCAGTCACTATTCAGCAACTGAGTTACTAGGATGGTCTTATTACCATTTCTCACCCATAAGCATATTTTATTTTACGTTAAAGTGCATAAGCAAATTTCCTCAGCGTTATTTATATACAGTTATTCCACTTATATTTCAACTTTGTGCTCAGTGCTCACGGTCTTATTAATAAAGACTGAGTCTCAAAGATTCTGGTACAACTTGGGTACCTACTGCAGAAAGCCTTGAGGCCAATTAGATACAGCACTAGAATTCCATATTTCAAAGTTATAAACTAAGCACTTATCTCAGAATTGTTGAGGACCACTGATAGAATTACTTTACTTTCCGAATCAAGTATGGTCAACTTTTAAATAAGACAAAGTAGTTTTGAATTCATATAACAAATAATATCTAGAGGTAAATAAATTAAAAATACAATGTATTCATTTGTTTAATTATAAATAGTTCATTTTTTACTATTATATATTCCAGCTACATCTCTTGCACCTTCTAGAAAAGACCATATCTGGCAACAGAGCCTATTAAAATATAAAAAGCCAAAAATGCCAGGTAACTTTTAATAAGCACTATCATAAATATCTCCCAGATTACATCTGAAGATAATTACAAATAAGAAAACAAACGTAAGAGCAGGGGAAAAAAAAGAACAAAACTTAAGAAGAGGAAGTGCACCAAAATTTGTACACAATAATTTTTCACAGTAGCTTAATATACTCTGGCTAAACCCATACAGCTGGCTCCACTGAGGTGAAAAATCTTATTTTTCTGTAGTGCAGTTGGTAATCTTGGTAATCATAATGGTGGCAAAAAGCAGGTTTCCAGGTCATGGTACTTGAGAGAAGGCCAGCGCCCATTTGGAAGAATTTATCTCATAGAAAAGCAAAACTATGACACAATTGCACAATTGAAATAGTTTAAGATTGGCAGGTTCCACTGGAACAAACTCTTCCTAGCTAATCTTAATATCTCCCAAGAACCTTTACTGATATCTTGAAAGAAACTAAAGAAGTGCAAACTGACTGCAAAGGGACACAAAATGGAAAATCTAAGTGTGTTGTATAGTTTCAGGCAGATGTATTTGCCTAACTAAACCTCAAGTCTTAAGTTTTGAATCACAGTAAATATACTCGGACAGACTCTCCTGTGGAATTTAACTCAAGTAGCTTTTGAAAACTGATTTTGCCATGGAAATTTTTGTCTGCAAGTCTAGCACTCTTCCAGAAACAGAAGCAGTGCTAACAGTCCAGGAAGCCTACAGCAAAAGTAAGCGAGGTATGGTGCTGAGGTCACTGCAATTTCAGAAGCTTTTCAGCCCTTTATGTGGCTTCTTTCCAAAGGAGTAGCAACCCGAAGATTTCTCCTGTTCAACTCTATAGTATCTCCAAATCCACATGACGAACATCAGGATTTCGTTGCTGAAATAAAATTTTTAAAAAATATATTGAAAATATTCACATTTTTGCACATAGGTACCAATAATGTATTTCTAGTATGATGTTGGCAACTGGATAACAAATCCCCTTTTGGGGTAACATAGGGACTATTTTAAAATGAGGAAGAGCTTCAAACATTGCCCATAGTATAAGCCATGTTTTGAAGCCATGTTTTTATTTGACAAATACTTCTCAACATCACAGATAAGTTAGTTCTTATGCTTTAAAAGGTATAAAGCAGCTCTTGATTTTAAAAGGGCAGTTAGGTTTTATTTTATATAAAACCATCCAAACAAACATATATATATACACACGTATCTCACTTTCTTAACAGGTACTTTCCTGAATAATGGGTAAGATTGCTAAAATTATTTGTACTATACCACTAAAGCTATTTATAAACATTCCAAATACTGTTTCTATTAAGAAATATGCATTTTCTGATATTGTAGAAATATGTTATCATTATTACACAGATTGCATAATTCATAAGAAAGTCACTGACTTCAAAGTCACCCAGTATGTGAACCTGACTGGTGTATTTCGTAAAGCATATTCAACACCAACAAAATCACTGAAATCCCTACCTATACCAAAAAACATTATTCACGTTTATAAAACAATTAGTCATGATCCTACTCCTTAAAAACCATGAAGAACTGATTCTGCTGGTGCAACTAAATTCAAAAATAATATTTTGACTTTCAAACTGCACAACTGCAGAGACAGAAACTAAAACTAGAATATTTATCAAGTGTAATAAGCAACGACAGACATGCTCTCGAGTAGTGTTTCATGGCCAGAAAAAGCAGTCATGGCAGGACTATTTGTCTGGCAGTCAGTATACTTGTAGTTCTGAATTCATACCAGAAAGATAAGACTGACAGCCACAATATGCCTGTAAAATTAAAAATGGAAACAATCCTTTGTTGCATCAGCCAAAGGATATTTAAATTACAGGATGAAAAAAAATAAGGAAGTTGAGAAGCTTGTGAAAGAAGTAAACACTGCACTGCTTCAACAGAGCAAAAGATATTGAGTAACATTCCCATCCCACAGATACTTGACACAATCCTAAGCACATATTAAAAAAAAAATTGAAATCTGTTTTCATGCATCCAAAACTGAATTCAACAGCCTATAAATAATCTTACTTCCTGAGAATACAGTAATAAAGATGAAATCAGGTCTATTTAATGAAAATAGTGTTCTATGTTGGTATAAAATGAAACAAAACACACAACAAATGGATCAGTGGCAAAGTAAGGGTTTGCTGGTGGTCAGAACTTAGTTAATAATACTATAAGGAATATTAACCCCTTCTCTCTCCCATATTTACAAATGAAATTCCAAGAAGTAGATGCAGTGATACTGTTTAAAATATATCACAGAATAAGCACTCCCTATTAAGCAGTTAAAATTTACCTTCAGGTCCTTTTCAAGTCTGTCTACTTCAGCTCCCAGCGTGTCAATGATATTCTCACCATGCTTAAGCATGAAGGCTTCTAATTCTTCAAGGGTTTTCACTTGCTGAATTTCCTAGGAAGAAATTAAATTTAAGAGATTGAGATGAGGGAAAGAAAATAAAGGAATAACACTCCAGAGGGTCTTGACATATTTCAAGAGGAGAAAAAAGAAAAAAACAACTAAACAAAACACTTCAGCTTTTGCCATTTCCTTCCAAATATCATCTGTTCTTATGTCTCAAAGACACAGAAGAGTAGCATCTATTCAATGGAAACAGCTGGCTCTACCATTACACCTGCATATGATATAAAACCTTCATCTATATTTAATTGATTTCCTCCTTAACTTTAGAGAATTTAATTCATTTTCTCAAAGTTTCTAGAGTATCCATGGCTCACAGCAAGGCAGAGCAGGGTACCCCTGTGTATTCTTTCCCCATTTTCATACATTCTTGCTATTTCATTACACTGTCTACTCTGGGCATCACATAATCAACTCATCTGAAAATCCAAAAGAATTACTACAAATGCTGCTGTAAATACAGCTCCTCCTTAGTATCAAAAACTTGAAGATAGTTGACTAGGAGACCCACAGTATATGAAACTGAAGGAAAGAAGTTAAGGAAGACAGGGTGTTATACCCCACCCTCCAAAAAAACTGACATAAGCAACATCAAAGCAGGTATTACAGTATTGCCATAGAATCATACAATTGTTTGGGTTGGAAGGACCTTAAAGATCACCCAGTTGCACCCCTGCTGCCCTGGGCAGGAACATCTTCCACTACATCAGTTGCTCAGGGCCCCATTCAATCTGGCCTTAAACACTTCCAGGGATGGGGCATCCGCAACTCCTCTGGGTAGGTTGTTCCTCTGTCTCACCACCCTCACAGTAAAGAAATTTTTTTCTCATATCTAATTTAAATCTATCATCATTCAATTTAAAGCCATGAGCTTTCCTTAGCAATCACACCCTAAACTGGCCAGAAGCCATCTGCCCTGTAAATATCTCAGCCATAGTTCAGGCAATACAGCTGCAGTATGTCCAGGATAAATCTGTTATTGCAAACAGATACAGTAGCTACTAAATAGTTAATTCTTCTTGTGTATATAATTACAACACAATATCAATTTTTTTTTTCCTTCCCCACTGCTCTAAAACTGAAGAGGAATAGTGTAATTAAGCAAGTTTAGAAGACCTCAACCACAACAGCCCATGACTATGATCACATCAAGTCTAACAAGAAAAAAAACCGGGATAATCTAAATGACAGCATTTCAACAAATATTTCACAACTGTAGGAAGAGTTGACAGCAATGCTAGTTGAATGAGCTAGTTATTTGAAAATGCACAGATCAAAAGGCAAGCACGATGTCTGCCTTTGACTTTGCGTGGCTGAGTCCTACTGAAAGTGGCTATCCTTCAACAAGGGTTTTATAGCTGACACAACGTTACCAAGTGAAATAACAATGACCTCCATAAGAAACAGTTGCCAAACTAAAAACAATCGACAACATCTTTCGCAACAATATCGGAAGTATTGGAAGAACTAATGAAGGTTGTATGCAATCACCCAAGGAAATAGCAGGTAAAGAACGAAAGCTAACCAAGCCTTTGCAAAGAAGACTAGCTTACTAAACAATGGCAACAGCAAAGCAACTGGCAATATAAAACCCAGCAAACCTGCAGTGTTTCAGTGGTACAAAGCTCTTCCTCTCAAAAATGTATTACACTCAAATCCAGTATATGAACAGATCAGTTATGGCACTATATATACATACATACTTTTTTATTTTGACATTAACGTGTTTTAAAAACTGGGACACTACTAATGGTTTAAAAATTGCAATGTAAAATTTAAAGGTAAACTCAGATAACTTCTAAGTTGTGTTTAACAGATAGACATAAAATGCAGACATCTGACATCTTCATTTCATTTTAAAAGGGTAGCAAAGAAATTAATCTTGTAGGTACACAAGCAAATGTATATACAGAAGGTATCAGTGAAAACTGGTAAGCAAGCAAAACATTTTGCTCACTTAAAACTCTTTTAATTTAGATAATTTATTATTTACTTCATACTTCATTGCTTTGCCATATAGAATCCAGCTGAGAGCAGTTTTGCATTTCTATACTGAAAAGAGGGAATAAGAAAAGCTACTTGGAACTACACTAAAATCAGACTGACACTTCAAAGATGTTTAATTGTTAAGCATCATCAAAATGCTAAATCACATGATGCAAGCAATCCATATTCAAGCCAAGCCTGAATGGTCAGACCTGTAAAGCCTAACACTGCAACATCAATAGCCAAGGCAAATGGCTCTGCCAAAAAAGGTGTTTATTTGCAGGTGACAGGCTTCTAGGTTTAACTATAGATCTTGTAATTCAATAAAAAAGTTATTGTACAAGTCTGTATTTTCTAACAAAACATAAATTTAAAAATCTGCCCTCCTACCCAGGCCCTACTCAGCCCAAAAGCAGCTCTGTTTCATCAGCACATTACACAATTTCATGTACAGACATTTAAACACTAACACAAAGTAAGAACATCTGCAACCCTTCAAAATGAAGAAGTGAAATACATCTCACCTACTTGTAAATCTTAGGTTTAGACATACTTGAAATTGGAACGTATCAAATACTAGGGTTACAAAACCATTTTTTAAACATACTTGTAGCAGCTGTTCGATGTCTTGCTTTTCCAGGTAAGACCGAGTAACAACACGTCCATCAAAGTCTACTTCTGCCTTGAATCTCACTTTGCTCATTCCCATGTCTGTAGCTTTAACATCATGAATTGCTCTGAAACACATAAATTTTTAAAGAAAATGTAAAATAACATAAACCAAACCACTCTGATGTTAATAATATTGTCACAGAAAAATGATCCTTTTAAAAGGCCACTGTCTTTAAAAAAATATTCGCATTTTGCCACCACACTCTTCTGTTAAATACTGATTTATATTTAACTGGTTATACCATTTCCACAGGTTTCTGCAACACCAACACATCTATAAATGGCTCACTGCAATAAAAGACAGACTACAAGAAACATCGCAGATTTAGAACTAGTTTAACAGTATATTTGAAAAAAAAAAAAATTCCACAATTAAAAATGTGAGAACTTCCCTACTCCATGTTAAAAGTCTACCTTCACCTTATTTGTTACTGTACAGAAGTTCTTTTGTGTATACATGACACTATGTAACCATCTTTAAGTTGCCTTAATTCTGAGGTAAGAAATGTATTGTTATTTACTGAAAGGAAACAATGAAATTATAGAAGTGTTCTTTCCTACACTTGGTAGAGGCATGAACCTCTGAAGAGTTTTCAGATATATTTGATATAAGAAAAAGTTATGGATATTGTGTTTGTAACTCATTTTTGATCATACTGAATAGCTGATGATGACTTACCAAAATACAGCTGTCTGTAAATGCTGAAATTGTATATTTATTTAAAGGTTTCTAATCAATACTAGAAAATGAAAGCTGAAATATGTTTATATTTTGGTTCTTTGAAAAATTCTTTTTTTTTCTATAGCACAGTTTTGTTCCAGTTTGCTAGATAAACTCAGTGATGTGTGAGTATAGGTAGTAAACAAAAAACCCTCTTTTTTTTCAGAAACAAACTCAAGACCAAGACATATTGTGATGCTTTTCAACAATTAAATAAATATAAAATAAAATACTCAATTTTTTTCTAATGAGAGTGACAAAAACTCAGTTTATATTTAAAGCCAAGAGAATTTAAATTGCCACTGCAGAGAAAACATTTCCACATTTTTCCATCAAGGTCAGAAAAAAAACCAAAAAAAAAAACAAGTGGAGACTAAAATAAGGAATATAAATCACAGAAGTTTCATTTTTTTTTAAATTCTTGCCTCTGACATTCCCAAAGCAAAACAAGTACAAAATGTTCCAAAGGTTTTTAGTTTTATTAATGAAAAAATGCATTTTTGACAATTCTTAAATTCTAACACAAAATTTAGATTCAGCAACACAGCTCACTTGAAAGTACCAAACTTAATCCCCGTTCATTTTGCCAGGCTGTGCAATTTCACAGAATCTTTACATTTTAGCATGCCCTTTGCCTTAAGCAAATTTGGTCTTCCCAACTAGAAATGTTTCTTTTCATCTGAATGTTTATAAATCATAACTAACTTCACAGTAGGCGCAGGAAGAAAGCAGAAGGCATGTTATCTTTAAAGGAGCTTGCTGGAATGAACAGCCAAAAAAGAACAGGAGACGGAAATTTTAAGATGAACAATCACAGGAAATTTTTATGGAATACTTCTAGCAATACTCAGGGTAGAGGAGAGGTAAGCACATTAAAAAAATAAATAGAGCATGAACTAAATATAGAGACATCAAAAAGTAGATCTTAAAAAATATTTAAGCAGATTAAAAGAACTATTAGCTTACTTGTAGCAATAAAGACTTCCCAGCTCCATTCAAATTTACACAGCTATTCTGTGGGAAGGTACCAAGTCAAAACAGTATTTACTGGAGTAACCTGACTGGCATCAAACTACCTGGTCACAAAGAGGGTATTTAAGATAACAGATGTAGTTACTGAAGAGAATTTGAAGCCATGTGATTCAAAAACGTTGAAGACATACCAAGTGCCTATCAGAGCTAAGCAATTAATCATTAACCTGATAAAATTCAGTGAAATCATGCACATTCTGCAAATGTGAAGGAAAAAAGTCTACCTTGCTGCACATAATCCGTCCAGGAAACATAAGACTGAGTCAAGAAGAGAAAAATCACTAATCATTCAAAAATGCAAATGTGTATGCTAAAACTTAAGCTAGAATCTTGCTTGTGGAAGCTTCTGGATGGTTAGCAGACACCATCAATTTGAACTAAGGAAAAAAGCAAGTTTTACATTAAAGAAAAATTTGTCAGAGAACATCAAGTTACTGGGTTTGAGCAATCAGTTGTAATTTTTTTTCCTCCAAAACAGAATGACAGATTTTACAGCACAACAGTTGCACAGCTACACAATAGCTGTCACAATGAAGTAAAATTAAAGATGAAACCATCACTAGGGATAGTTTATCCCTAGGAATCTATGATTACATTGCATAAAACCAGAATCAGGACAGTCTATGCATCATTACATATTTTATTTCACAGTTCTGAAAGGCTAATCTCCCACACTTCAGTTAAGTTGAATACATGAAGATTTAGGCACCAAAGGTGTCAATGGAGTTACGAATGGAATGTTTTTATACCAAAAATAAAATCAAATAATTTTCCAGCTGAGAGCAACTCTGAAAGTCCATTCTGGATCACGAGTTAAATATGGGCTACAACTAGGAATTACCAAGAAAAATGAAAAGAAAGGAGAAATAAATAGCCACAAGCCTAAAAGAGAAATTATGAAGTCCAACAAACTGATAGATGAAACATAATACAAAGTTATTGAGTGCAATACAAACTAACTTTTTTTAAGGGATTGGAAATGCACATGACAAACAGCACACAGAAAGGGGCAATTGGGCAGCTGCCATATGAGCTCTGGGAGAGGGTTTACAAAATCACAGAATATACCAAGTTGGAAGGGATCCACAAGGATCATTGAGTACAACTCCTGGCCTTGCACAGGACCATCCCCAAGAATCACATCATGTGCCCGAGAGTGTTGTTCACTTCTGGAACGCTGTCAGGCTTGGTGCTGGTACCACTTCCTTGGAGAGCCCATTCCAATTTGTTAAGGTCTCTCTGCAGGGCCTCCCTGCCTTCCAGGGACTCAATACTCCCCCCACTTTTGTGTCATCTGCAAACTTGCTTAGTATCCCTTCCAGTCCTGCGTCCAAGTCATTTATGAAGATGGTGAAGAGCACAGAGCCTAAGATGGAGCCCTGCAGAACCCCACTAGTGACAGGGCACCAGTCCGATGTTACCCCATTCACTGTTACCCTCTGTGCTTGACCCGTGAGCCAATTGCTCACCCACATGATGTGTTTATCCAGCTGTGGACTGCAAGAGACAGTATCGAAAGCTTTACTGAAATCCAAAAAGATTACATCAACTGGCTTCCCTTGATCCCTTGGGTTACCTTGTCATAAAAGGAAATCAGGTTGGATAAGCAGGACTTTCCTCTCATGAAGCTGTGCTGGCTGTGACCAATGATCGTGTTGTCTTTCAGGTGTTTTTCAATACTTCCCAAAATAATCTTCTCTATAACTTTACCAGGCACTGAAGTGAGAATGACAGACCTGTAGTTTCCAGGGTCCTCCTTCTTGCCCTTCTTGAAAATTGGGACAATGTGTGCCAACTTCCAGTCAGCTGTGGATTCCCAAGACCACGCAAAAAAATCATCAAGAGAGTTTTTGTGATGACATCAGCCACCCCTTTGAGGATTCTGGGATGAAACCCATCAGGCCCCATAGATTGCAGGAATACGGCAGATCCCTCACAATTTCAGAGTCAACTGGGAGTTGATCGTTCTCGCAGTCATGACCCTCCAGCACAGGGCTCTAGCACCCCCTTAGTCCGTCATCCATGTCGAAACAAACAAGCCATCCATAAAGAGGCAAAGAAAGTGCTAAAAACCTCTGACTTGTCTCTGTCCCTATTTATGATGTGACCATCCTCATCCTGTAATGGGGTGATATTTCTATACTGCCTACTGCCATTAATGTATTTGAAAAAAATCTTTATTGTCCTCTACATCTCTGGCTACCTTCATCTCCAGTGGAATTTTCTCCCTAAAACCTCACCTGACAACTCAAGGAAAAACAGTAACAAAGGTGGGGAGAAGAATTATATATTAACAGTAATTCCAGTTACTAAGGTTTTAAGGAATATAGGTCTTGTCAAACAATCCTGCAAAAAAACCCAGTTTTTTTTAAAAAATCAAGATTTAGCTGAAAAAATACCAACATCACAAAGATCTTTTGTTTTAGTAGTACAGCAGTTAGTACTGTCTGATAAATCAAAGACTTTATAATTAGTAGTGGGTCATGATGTTCAGGCAAGCTACCACTGGAATAGTAAGTTAAGTGATGGTGGTGCTAACCAGGTGGTGCTGGGGGAAGTAAATATCAGAGCCCCTGGATCCTTTGGTCAATTTGGATCTAAAATACCTTCTGATGAATGCTAAAGGATTTCATAATACACCCCCTTCCTATTTGGCAAAACACATCTGAAAATAAACATTATAACCCTTGCTTGAAAGAACAAGGGAGGACTATTCTGGGAACCAGCAACTACAAAAAGCATTGCACTGAGAACTCAAGGGTTTGCTGCCTAAAAACCCTGAAAGGTTGAAATAAAATGAGCAAATATTTATCACAGCTTCAGAAGTAGTGAAGCAGACCAGTACTCAAGAGCTTTTTCGTTTACATCTGGTGTTAGTAGGATATGTAAGAACAGAATATACTACAACACAGCTCCATTTAAGAAAATGGGAGGGTTTGAATGTTCAAGAAAATGCTGACATTCTTACAAGTCCTAAGCTTATGTTGATGAAAATGTACCAGTGGCCTTTTGAAGAAATATTTGATGTTAAAAGACTTCCTCATTTCACAGGAAAAAGCTGAAAATAAAATAAAATAACACCTAACTAACCAAAGGTTGGAATAGGAAATAAAAACTTAGAGCAGCTTTTACCCTAAATTATACCTAGTAACAAGCAAGGGTAATATAAGTTTACGTCACAGAGAATTCTGAGATCAAGAGCAGGTATCTTATTAAAAGATGTAAATTAACCAAGCTAAAGATAGCAGGCGTGTTAAAAGAACTTGGTCAAAGACAGGGAGCACTGAAAGAAATCAAAGGTGATAATATAATGGATCTAAGAAAGAGACAACTGAAGACAATGTGCATACAGAAGGTATGAGAAGTACCTAGATGTGTTTCAGCTTCAATCTCAAGAAAAAAACATGTAGTTTCTCAGGAAGTCTTTACTTCTTTTATTATTCATGCTTTTTTAAAACTAACGTACTTGTTGGTTTAAAAAAAAAATGTCTAAAGCAAAAAGGAGACCAACTAGGTCTGCTCTGTTGAAAAGTTAGAGCCATCTGCAAAATGGAATACAATATAAAATGGTGCTTGGCCTAGGAGAAATTTTATTATTTCAGCCTGAGACAAGTAAAAGCCATTTGCTCACTTTGGAAAAAAGAACTACAGAAGCCATGTATGAATAATCATGTGAACTCACCCACCCTAATATAGCACCGTTGACACATGCTTCACCATTCAGACTAATCTAGGGCAACCACAAATACTTTAAAATAATTTAGTTACTGATTTGAAAATTCTAATACACCTCTATTCCAAATAGGAATCCTGTTTAGTTTCTGGAATGAAGGGCAAGTAGTGCAGACCTCTTGCTTGCAACTGAGATGATGCAGCACTTAGTTTCTTTCACATATTCTGGTATTAAGTCAGGGGCTTAGGGTTTTTTCCTCCACAGCTCAAAAACAACTACAAATAAAAAAAGCACTAAAATATTTCAGCTTTTTTATACAGTACTACATTCCTGAATAAAGATTAAAAAGAAAACAAAAAGGGGTTTGCTTTTAAATCAAGTTTAGTAGGGTTAAAGCTAAAATAGCTCCTTGAAAAGCATTTAAGTAAGCTTTCAGAATTACAATGACCTGTAAGTTTACTATAAACAGCAGACTTGCAAAGAAAATTAGCACTGAGTTAATTTTATAAGCACCTAAAATCCAGAATCTATTACATCATAATACTACTGCAGTACTTCTTGCCAATTGCTATAGAATTCCAGACACTGAATATTAACTAACACAATTTAAATATTTAAGTGCTAATAAATTATAAAAGCAATAGAACAGTATCATTTGAGTGCTTTCATTTCATGCATTTGGAAAGAGTTTTAAGTTTGTGATGGTTTTTTCATTAAGTCATTGTCAATTTCTGTAATTAAACTGTCAATTCCTGTAGCTGTTAAAATATATCTGCAATCTTATTTTAGTTGTGGAAGATCCCAGAGGTACAAGTATTCACTTACTGAAAGTTTTAGCACAGAAACAGAAGTTAGCAATAATAAAGACTCTAAAATCTCAGTACAAAAGAATCTACACTAAAAATAATCTCAAAAGATTTCTCTCAGTTAAAGTGTTTGAACTATTTTTTCCAAATACAGTTTTCTTGCTTTTTGTTGTTCTTAGTAGAGATTGTGCTGTGGAGATTCTTACCTTACTACAGGATCACTTTCTAGTAACTCGGTGAGTCGCTGCAGTTGTTCAGGTTCAATGGATCGTCCCAGCAGGGCTTCAGTGTTAGTGTAGATCAGAAATGCTGAGACAGTTCCTAACAAAGTTCCAACACCTAGAGACCCCACACTGTCATAATATGGGTTTCCTAAACAAGATAGATCAAATTAGTTTCACAGAGCTTTTCTAAAACGTAGCAGAGAATTCCAATTTCACACAGAAAAGAGTACACAGTTTTGAGAGTTTTTTGGGTTTTGCTTTTTAGTTGATTTTCTTTTTTGTTTGCATTTTTTTGGTTGGTTGGTCGGTCCGTTTTTCGAGGAATTTTTTTTAATTCAGTGGCAATTCTTTCCGACACGGAGGAATAAGATGAAGTTGAAAGAAAACAGGCTATCTCAAGATAAAGTCTTAGGTTCCTCCTGTCCCTTGGCCACTCCTGTCTCCCGCAGGACTAATACACAAGTAAACTCTTGTCAGCTATATGGGTTTCTATATTAATAGGTAAATTTATACACAGTTATATGCACTTAAACATAGGTAAGTCAATGTTCTTTTATCAGTAACTCAAAAATGTTCTTTTATCAGTAACTCAAAAATTTGCAAGTAGCAAACATTTCTGGAATACAGCACTTCTTACATAAGTTTCACTTATTCATTCCAATCCAGATCTGTAGAAACAGTACTGTATTTTTAAGTTTGTGAAGGAAGCTAGAGATGAAAGAAAAAAATTACTTTTATACAAAAAATGAAACTTACAATTAACTCATCAGAAGCCACAAAGAAACAAAATTACAATCTTTATTGTTTTAAAAAGTCAATACTTCAAAAGGGATAAATCTTTAGAAAACTTCACTGTGCAACAGACATACTTTGAAACACTTGCCATGCATACCATCCTACCTGCATGAGTGAGGTTTGCCACACTGCAAAGGAGCAGCTACTGTTACTGAAGATGGCACTAATGCCACTATGTATCAAAAGAAAAAAAAATAACTGCTTCCTTAAATCCTCCCCACATGCACATGCACCTGTGCACCATTTACTAAGGAAGCTCAAATTATGTAACCCCAACATGGCACAAAGTGATAACTGACTGCCATAAATATTCCTTTAGTAAAACATAACTTAGTTTGTAAGCCAAAACAGCTCAAAAGGAAGTTGGACCCATCTGCTTAACAGAGTACAAGTATCAGAAAAAAGAGTAGAGACACCAATATTAACTAAATGCTCTGGGTTCCTATCACACACAGAAGTAAATCCACATCCTGCTTTGCCCCTGTGCAGAACTTTACCTGTTAAAGAAGTCAGACCCATACAGGTAGCAGCTACAGCCACGCTCAAAACTGCAGCAGCATCCTCCAGTAACACCACATTTGTACTAGGATCACGACTCTGCACAACTGCACATACAACAACAAAAAAAAATTAATTGCTTTGGAAAGCTTAGCTTTATTACATTATGCACAGTACTTAAACTAGACTAACAACAGCAACTTAAAAAAATTTCCGTAAGTATATAGGTGTAAACTGAATTTTTGCAAATGCACACACTTCTGAAAGCATTTATAAATACACAGAACAAGCCCAATTATGGAAGCTTCTCAAAAATGCTTGAAAAATACAAGCACTTCAGCAAGCTATTTAAGTAGCATTACTTAAAACAACAAGTTTTCGCATAATCTGTGAAATGTTATTTGCTACTAGAATAGAAAACAGATCAATAAAGCAAGGAGGAAGGGAAAATAGAGAAAATTGTTTCTATCATTATGCTAGTGAACAGATTCTGTTTTAAGTAACCACATACCTTACTGCTATAATGACACATACCATATTGATAAAATGACAGGCCCTTGGCACGAGCACTCCTGCGAATTTCATTTATAGCAACAAGAAGGGTAGCTGAAACAACACCAAAGTTGTTGCTGAAAACGGTTAGAGGCAAAAAGACTTGTTTCAATCTCGAAGAGGGAACTTCTCTTTATATCATAGCAACAGAAATCAAGGTATCTCTGATGACAGCTCAACATATGAAGAAAGCTCCAATTATTGTTAACTTTGAGTAACAACAAAGCACAGTTACTATCTTTTCTACGTGTCTCCATACAAATCAGAAGAGTTATATTCTTTGATAGTTTAATACCAAAAAGGTACTCTATGTCTACTTTCCAAATGATGTGTTCTTCAACTTATTATTATATAGACATGGGGAAAAAAAAATGCTCTCCCTCTTGTTTTTGTTTGATAACAACTATTTGCAACAGAGTTCAAAACTTCATTGTGTAAGCAAAGATCAATTATTACTGTAATTACTCACACAGTAATCTTAAAAGATTACAAATACGTAAATAGAAATATTTCTTGAAACAGCATACCTCCTTCAGATACCAATGACCCTGCTAAAATGCAGTATGCCTGTATGGAAAAAAAAATTATTATGTTATATGCATATTTGTACAGATCTCTTCACCACAGACTATCTAAACAGAGCATTCCAGAACCTCTGTGCCATGTAATTGTCCCTAAACAGAAGGAAACCAACAATATTTGCATTATGGAATATACTGCAAAATAGGAAAGGAGGACCTCTTGAGAAGTATGAAGGAAGATGCAGGGTTTAAAGAACACTTTTGCTGCAAGGTCAGCTGTAATTTAACAAGATTTTTTTTCCTAAAACACATTCTCATTAAGGGTGGTTTGAGTTAATTGTGTTGGGATTCAAACTGACTCAGGAAGTGAATTTCAGACTATGCCATTATTTTTTATTAAGTCACTTGTTAAATACAATACCAAACAAGATCAGCTTACCCAGAGAAGAGATTCTACAGGATGAGGGTGGAGTAAACCTATGATCCCATGATACCAAGAAAGTCCTGCACCCATCATGAAAATGCCTACTCCACTAATCAGGGAGGCAATATAGCGCATGTTTGTGAAACCATACCTAGATGAAAACAAAGAAAGTGATTTAGAATTTACAGAATAAGAATCTGTATCTCTGCAAACATACCCTAAAGTTTTTCCACTAATTTTCATGTCTCAAATTATCATTGTATGACTTGGTATCTATTTAAGATAAAGCTGCTAAATCCCAATCTAATCCAAGGGGGGGAAAAAAGCCACTTGAAAAAGGGTATCTCATACATGCAAGAAAAACAAGCATAGATATTCTCCTAAATTGTTTTTAAACAGTTGAATTGGGTCTTGTGCAGAGATTGAGAATTTTAAAACTCTAAAAAACCCAAAATAAACATAAAAACAACAAAAAAGCCCTAAACCTCACCAATATTCATGATATTCATGTCAGTTTTACATGCTAGAACTGGTACTTGTAAATGAGAACTCTACCCTTGTAGGTAGCTGGTCTAAATAATTTATAACACTAATTTAAATGAAATAAAATGTATACATCTTTCAGTAGTAGATAACTATGGACATTCAACACTTGCAGTTTTTAAGAGCACTCTTTTAAGTGGGAAGACTTAAAGCAACATTAGAAGCTTTTTTTCTGTATTAACTTCTACTACAAACAGTACACTCCTTTAGCCACATTTAAGAAAACAGTATTTTGTTCTACTGACTACATTGAGGAAGAAGGGAAAGAAGTGAGAGAGAGGAAGGAAATAAAATGAATATGTGGATAAATTTAGGATTTAAATTTTTCAAATTTTAATGAAAAAAATGATAAAAACAAAAAGCAGTTTAAGTCAAACACATCTCCTCACGGCTGAAGTAATTGCCTTGCAGCAAAGATTCACATGAACAGTGTTTAGATATATTCACTGGAAGTAGAAGAGCCCAGAACAACTCAGAGAAATAATGACAATTAAAATAAAACATAGCAAAAGCGTAACACAAAAACCAAAACAAAACAAACCACACATGCACGAAGCCACTGAAGCTACAACTACAACTCCTGCACCATGGAAGAAAACCCATTTCTTATTTTATCTATTGTAAAATCACAAACAAAACATTTCTGAAATGACACAAAACAGCAGATTAAAAAGAAAAGTGATGCAAAAACAAGAACTGATCTTACTCCTATATATAGTTAACAAAATCTTTATTTACTCAAAAAGCTTACGGATGACTAGGGTCAGGTGTTCTTGCCGACTGACTGATGCCCAAAGCTAGCAATGCCTATTTAGGACAAAAGAAAAAAGACTTTGTTAAAAAAACCTGAACATGAAGATATATTAGAAACATTCCATATCAACTGAACTTCAGAGATAAAAGCAAATGCAATTTCTTGATCTTCACATATGTTTTGTTACTGATATTTTACTAGATCTGAAATACAATCTTCAAGATTTGTCATCTAAATCTACCACCTCCAAGAAGTTGTTACACCTATATATATAATATAGATGCAATTACATGGTGTGTGAATATATAATTACTGTTAATTATAATTTTAGAATTGCAACTAAAAGTGAACATGCAACCACAAGTGTTGTTGCTGCACTTCAGTGCAAAGGAATGGATTTTCTCAGGGAACAAAGTTGTTTAAATAAATCCTTCTTGAAGAGAAATTATACTAAGACTGTAGTAGCATAGAGATGACATACTACATTTAATTGAGATTGAGCCTCATTAAGATGAGACTGGATGTGTTACTCAGTGCCATCCACCACGGCAGTAGTGGATCAATGGACTTGATGATCTCAGAGGTCCTTTCCAACCCGGCTGCTTCTATAATTCTATGAATTCTCATATCTAAAGCAACTACTTCACACCGCAGTTTTTTTCAGTCTACTTTTAAGGAAGACAAAAAAAATCTTGCTGTCTAAATTGCCTATCTGGAATACATTTAATTAGGCATGTACTAAGCTACTGATGTAGTAAGTTACAAATCTAGACCTCAATTTTGCAAAGCATGTGTTTTGTTTCAGGACTATGAACTACTGAAACATAATAACAAGTATTAAAATTTAGACACTTTCAGTAGCAGCAGCAAGCTGCTTTGACGAAGCAAGGTTTCTCCTGAATTTTTCCCAAAACCACATACTCAAATATTTGGGGAAAACAAAACAAAATCACATTTTAGTGGAACATTCAACTTTCATATTTAAAAAACAGAATAGCTCTTCAACTTATGTAACACCACTATCAAGTTTGATTCACCTATAAATGGACACACTTGGTCACTTCAAGGCTGGTCTCCCCATAAATTTAAGTATTATAGTTGAGTTAGTAACACCAGGTCTTCACTTTATATCTGAAGAGATGAAAGGTTGTGTAACAACAACAAACAAAATGTGAGTCCTCAACTTAGTCCTTCTGGATAGAGAAGCATACTGGGTCCAACTCAAGCAAAAAGGTTGCCAAAACAATTCTAATACACTTTTCAAAATATTCTGTCTGCTCTAAGGTCCCATATATTCCTCAAATTTGGAGGAGAAAAAGACTTGCATTTTAGTAGTCACAAGCTACCCAAGGACTCCTCTTGCTTGAGTTGTAGGAGGGTTTCAGCCACTCATCATTAAGGGTTGGGGTTTTTTGTTTCTGAAGCCTTGTTGTATCAAAAACTGCAGCAAGATAGATTCTTACTACAGTGGGAGAAGGGAAAATTCCAAGGTCTCATAACATATGCTTCAAGAAAACCACAGAAAATAGTGGAAAAAACAACAATAATTTTATCTCTGCACACTAATATGTGCCCAGTTCTGAGTCTGCCACATCACTTATCAAAGTAAATGTGCCAAATATGTAGCTACTTGTGCTGTGAGAGGCTGATAAGCTAATCTAGGAATAGAAAAAGAAACCAAGATGCTCAAATTCTCATCATTATTCTACTAAGAGATGACTAAGCAACAATTCTGTCAATATATTACAACTGACAGAAGTATTTCAAGTTAACATTTAACCAAAATAAGAAAGAGATACACTTTGTACATCATCTTAGTTTCACATCCCACTCATGAGCCACAAAGGAGCTGAGTAAAGTTCTGCTTACTGCAACTCCTCTTTCAACATATTTCTAAAAAAACTTCAAAATCCACATTCTGACTTGTCTCATTTTTACATTAATACAAATAAAAAAAATCCCATTTTAATTTTTTACTCAAGTGCAATACAGCTACAATAAGTAGCTGTCTTTATTCCTGAAAATTATTACAAGTCCTAATTCTAGCAGAATGGTAAAAAATACTCACCTGGTTACATGTGTCTGCTAAAGAATGTATGGCTTCTGAAAACATACTTGCAGAACCCGTGTAAACCCAAGCAAGTAGCTTAAAGAAAAAATTCAACCCATTTCTGAAAACAAAGAGAAGAAAAAAGCTAAAGAACAACAGAATATTTGGTGCTTAATATTTTCAACAAAACCACAAATGCAATTTTGTATGCATTACCTGACAGAAAGCGGTAAACCCAAATATCAGTTTAATCATTAAGAGACCTGTACAGATAGACAAGGTATACAGAGTTTCTGCAGAGTTACTGTTAAAAAAAACCCTTTCAGCTAAACTTGATAAGGATATACAATTTATTTTTCCAAAATTCCTAAGCAGAGTAAGTTATACTTCCTGAAAACTACCATCACATTGACTGCTCAGAACAATAAATTTTCTACCAGGGGGAGAATAGAAGAAAAGGAGAAAATTTAGTTTTCTCCTTTTTCAATTCTTTTCCTCCTACACATCCCCTCCTAACACCGAAGTGCAAGGTTTCCCACTTTAATCTCAGCCTGGGCCATTCCCAGTAGGATACAAACATAAGACAGCAGACAGGAAGACAAGGTTGTCACTAGATTATGCTGTAAAAATTACCTATGGAACTTTTCCATTTGGATGCCCAGTGTAGTTTGTAGAAGACCTGTAGTCTTTTTTAGGCTACAGGTTTACTGGAACAAACATTGTGTTATGTTACACAAACTATAAGCGCTAAAATCCAAGTCTACATTCTTACTTCACACATTATAAGAATCAGTACGTTAATTATTACCATCATATTGCAAAGAAAATCAGACTGGAGGATTATAATGTCCTCCTCTATCTTTTTTAATATGAGTTTAACTTGTCAGCAACTTCAAAAGTATCCAAATAAACTGTTATAGGTTACTATTAGCAACATCTTGAAGCTACATTTTTTGACAACATATGCAAGAAATTACATTTAATCAGACAGAGCACAAGTCCAGCCCTTGACGTATACCAAGGTATATGTCGATCAAATAATTTCCAAGGTAATCCTTAAAGAATTTCTGTGAGAGTTCATCCACTTCTTAAAGCAAGAGGTAGCACTGTTTTCTGTACCTCCTTCCATCCAAGGACCTGAATCTGCTTTACAATTTTTAATTTAGTCTCATTACTTCATGGATGGTGAAGCATCACCATAATTTATACATGGGAAGTAAAAAAGGCATATTAGTAGACAACCCAAGAAGAAAGGGAGGCTGTTGTAACACTAAACCATAATTTAAACTCCCTGTGTAATTAGAGTTCTTCCACCTCACAGCATAGTGCATCTTTAGCACAGAAAGAAAATTGAATAAATAACAGTGGGATTCACAAGCACAGTCTCTTGGCTTTTGCAGTTCTTCTCCATACTGTGTTAATGGTGTTGAGTTGTCTGAAGGTACAATTTCGTTGTGGGGGGCCACACCTGTTGAGACGGCACAACAGGCACTCAGTTGGTATTTTATTTCACCCCTACAAATTCCTAAGTTGTGAGGGATTTTTATATCCTAGAAATCTAAAAAGAAGCCACACTAGGGTTTTTTAATGTTGGGCCCAGCAAAATCAATCTGTTAATGATGTCAAGTGAGTTGGTGACAGGACAGAAAAATGAAGAAATAATTACAAAAAACGTAGTGGGTTTACAGAGCCATTAAGGCTATTTGCTGGTTTCTGTTTGACTAGATATTCGCATGAATACAAGACAATAAAAAAAAGTTAGTTTGGGGGGGAAAAGTAATTTTTTTCCTACAAATAAATTATGTATTGCTTTAAAAAAAACAAATTCAGTACTATATTTGAAAATAATAAGCCCTATGAAAGCCTAAATTCTGTTGAAGAAACACCACAGCAGAGAAAAAAAAATCCAAACCCAGCAGATTCTGAGAAGGCAGCTAAAATATTCTGAATAGGTTTGAAACAAAGTTATCTTTTACATCACTGACCACCAATTCAGAAAGTATTTTCTCTATTGTACTGCACTGAACTGACTGATTTAGCTACCTCATTTCTATCTGCATGGACCTGAAAGTAGGAAACCTGAACAGAACACAAACCAAATCAAGTCTGAAAAATTTATTGTAAAGTTTGGGACATCGTGCCACGGAATACTAAAAACAAAAACAAAACAAAATAAAATAAAATAAAATAACCCCCCACACACACACACAAACCCCTCATGATTTATTAGATAAAATTAAAATTCTATACAACTATTTATAACTGTAAGTTATAAACAAAGTCGACTTAGGAGGCAGACGTTCTCCAGCAAAATGAGGGGAGGAGTGTTGAAACAATACATCTCTTCCTTCCTGTCAGACCTGTCAATTTTAGTGTAAAGTCTAAATCTAGTTGCTAACTTTAAAATACACTGACACATAAACAAAATCAGCATTTCTTTGAAAAGAAATACAGAAATGCAAAAGTAGACCAAAATCAATTATACAAATCAAGTTTCCCAACTTAGCAATTTAAGTTATAATTATAACACATTCAAATAAACCTATCCTGATGGAACTGTAAACTTGAAAAAATTAAGGGGCATTAATACTTGAGTCTGCAGATCTATGATTCCAAATTTGTTTCAAAGATAACCATCTCAAAACTCCAAGATGTATATGTGATACAGGAAATACAGAGAATTGAGAAATATATAAAGGGAGTTGTGCCATCATGTGACCTGCCCATTTTTTATACTCTACCTTACTGGTCTAGAAGGACCTGGTGTGAATTAATCATCTCTGTCTAGGTACATGAAATATTTGGACTTTTGAAGAAAGAACAGTAAAAAAAAAAAAAAAAAGGTCAGACTTAAAAAAAAATCAAACTGAAAATATTCAGATCCATTATGAAACTATGGAAAAAAAAATCTTCTATTTAGGGTCTAGATTTGAGAAATAAACATATTTATTTCCAAAGAAGTGGTAACATTACTAACATCCTTCACCACCAGTATTTTTTCTTAAAATATTATGTGCTGTGCAGACTTTCTACTGTTTAAAAGGTCACACATTAGTGTGACAATGAAATCACTTCAACAACAACAGATTCTGAAGAATGCTTTGCTAGTAACAGATTTGATAAAAACCATTACCCTCCTGTGCGTCTGTAACAGAGCTACAGAGTTTACCCTCACACACCAAATTCTATTAACAACATAGAGCATTCCAGTGCAGCTGGTCTATACTCTCCCACACAGATCCACAGAACAACTCCGCTCTCAATTGGACCACATTTCATCCTCCCTGAGGAAGGCTGAAGTTTGTTAAAAGTCTACCAAATCATTCCAACTGAAAAAGTTAAGACAGATTAGCCTCTCTTGACACAAAGCCAGAAACCATTAAAAAGAAGATCAGGACCACCAACAAAGGAGCACTGATGGTGACCTTGACTTAAACCTCTGAAAAGTCATCAGGTATTTGAGGGCCAAGAGTCACTTGAACTTCTGAAAAAGCTCCACAAAAAGATGTTTGTAGAGACTGTCGTGTTGCTCAGACATCTCTTGCCTGGCTGCCAGGCACTCATGTATAAAAATACCTAATCATCCAAAAGGTATTTTTGCAATGTTCATAGCAGTGCCCTATCTACAAAGCAAGAAGAAAGGTCTGTTTTCTCCATATCATTGTATGAAACAGAAGGAGGCAGAAATGACCACAACACCCCTACTTTTTTTTTGATTAGAAACATACATACTAGCAACTGTTACAAGTTTTTAACTTAGAAGGCTCTGAACAGTTACTAGTAGAATACTCAATAAAGAGGGAAGTTTTCAGTCAAGTGAGCTTTGTATCTTAATTCCCCAAGTAAAAGAATATAGTTTTGTAGGAACTCAAAAAGTTACTTCCTACTCAACTTGTTTTTGTTTCCTGTGACAAAACAAGTATTTTCCTCTGTTTCTATTTTGCTCTCTTATATCAATAGTGTCTTAGCTTTTAAAAACATTTTAAAACTATAAGGTTTCATGAGAAGTTTCCTGAGAGAAATTTAACACACTTCTCCCTATTTCCTGCCAAATAGTCTCTGTGATTATTTGCTTTACATCAGGATCATTAATTTGTTTCAAACTTTTAAGACACAAAAGGGAAAAAGCTCCTAAAATATCCCTTTTTCAATCAGAGAAGAAAGGAGTTATATAAAGAGAAAAGTGAATTCTTTTCTGTTGGTTATGTGCAAGATTGTTTAAATCATATGAAAATCTTCCTCTCAAGAAGGAATAAGAAAAAAGGACAGCTTCACTGTCCCTTCACATCCTTCAAAATTTTACTTTAATAAACTGTTTAGTCTCCAACTCAAAATTAGACATTTATTCAATATCTATCTGTATATATAGTGATGAACGTATTCACATCAACTTTCCTATCAACAGTGAATAAGCAAATCTATTAACTTCAGTTACAAAGACACAGATATCTTTATCTTAAATACACACACTGTTTCTATTTCCAGGATAATAAAATTGCTTTATACTTGCATAAACAACATTTTTTTTTTACTTACATGCAAATAGCTACCATTACCACCTTCCCTGGTCCCTTGAAAAACATAGTTGCTGTACTGGAGCGTGGCTACAAAAAGAAATAACAGATTATTAAACAACTAAATCTTGACCTCATGAGACACTGACCACACAAATTATTAAACAAAAAACTTTGCACTGCCCTGTACTGCAAAAGGGAAGCTACAATCCTTGAAAATAACTAATTCACTACTGAATGTTCAGCCAAACTGCAGTTGGGCCTTATATATTTCAACAGATAGATGGCTATAAAATAGATAAACAACCAACAAAGTCTCCAGCAGAGGTCACTGCAGCCGTAAGGCCAGGCACCAGTTGTGCAGCAGAACCATTATGAAATCATCCTACAGAGCAGAGCACCAGGATCTCAGGCATGTATCTGCTTAAGCAAAGAGGAAAGGCCAGTGGTGCATAGACAAAAGTATTAATCTTTTGGGGTCTTTTTCCTTTAGAAACTTAATTTCTTTAAATTAACAATATATTTGCTATACATATTAATAGGTTATATACGAAATCACAAATATAGTTACAATTTTGATAAGAAGGTAACCGAAAAAAATAAAAAACCTCTTACTGGTGGTTTACACTGTCACAGTAGGAAACCATTTAAACTGTCATCATAACAGCCATCATAACTGCATTACAATCAGAGATCGATCTGGTATATTACAATGCAAATAAATCTTCCTGTAATATTCAGTTAGTTAAGCTTATGCAACTATTACACAAATTTTCCTTCAAAAAGTGTCAGAGTACATATCATGACAATTTTCTAGCCAAAAACCTGAAAACATCCTTACCTTAGTATTTCCAAAGAACTCCCTGTATTCCCACAACAGCCTTTGGTTTCTAAATAGATCTGTAATACAAAATTATTATCATGAATATGTACTAGTAATTACTTTTTTCGAGCAGCAGCCAACTTCTAATAAGAGCTACATGATCTATCTATCTTAGTGGAAAAAAATTCCTCTTTTGGTATTATTAATCAGAAACACACATTGTTACATACTCATGCAAAATGCCAAATGCAATGTTATGATCCTATTTGTTGTTGCTATTTATACCAACAAAGGATGATGCACAGAAGGAGAAAATTCAAAATACATTTCACCAAATTCAGGCATTTTATTTATATCCAATAATTATTCTGCAGGTCAATAAAAATTTTGAAGCTACTGACTGCACTGTCAGTACAAACACATACAGACACTTTAACAGGTGCCTGAGTTCAAGTCTTTTTACTGGAAGGCTGTTCCACCTGCACAACTGTTTCAAAGAAACTGACAGGACCTCTAATTTTGAGGTGCACAACTTCACTACGTACCTTGAAGCAGTATTGCCTCTCCTGTGATTTTAACTGCCTAGACAGATCCAAATACATTGCAAACTACTGATTTGACTGTACCTGTTACTGATAATACCAGCAAGGGTAAAATCAATCATATTAAGCAAAGAAAGGACAATTTGGGAGTATTTCTCCTCTTCTGAAACACAAAGGCAAGCTGAATTCATTTTAGAGGAAAAATAAATGAGTAAGGGTATGGTATAGAGATTTGGATCAGTTTTAAGTATTTTCAAAATTCTAAATTAAAAAAAAAAATGCTAACTCGCTGAAAATGTAAATCATTATCTAAAAACTGAAAGCGCCCCCTCCCCAAAAGAGTATGACTATAGATCTCAACTGAAGGTATATTCTTGTTATAGCACAAAGATGATAAATTGTAAGATAGTATCAGACTGTATCTGCATAGATTGTAACATGTTACTCTAACATTATGCTGTAAAACCTAATAAGCATTTGTTAATTCCAAATGTAGATGTTATTTCTGAGGGAAATAACACGCTATCTGATGGATTTCCAATAATCATACTTTGTTGTTTACATTTCAAGTTATTTGAAAACTCTGTACTCACTTTCTCTGTACTTGATCTCTGCCTCTTTACGCCGTTTTCTTTCTCTGGCAAGAGCCTCTGGACTACCCCAAACTTCAAGAGACCTGCACGAAGTAAATGTCCCTTAACAATGGTTCTCTTCATGCAACTTTTTTTTCAGTTTGACTACATTAGAAATGCCTTTCTGACGGCAGAACAAAGTATTCTTTCTGATATGAACCCCTGTAGACTATAGTACAGAATAAAAAGCTGGGCAAGTGGGGGCCTAAATACAAGCACAAAAACATACCCTCCAATTTTATATAATACAATTACATAACAATGTAATTATTACAATAATTAGGATACAAAATATGTTCATATAGAAAAAGGAAAACATTATTGCCCTTTCACATTGCACACCTGAGTTTTGAATTTTTTTTCTCTCTCTCTCATATAATCCATTTTAAATAATTCAAACATTTTCCTTCATAAAAATGTTCTTACTTTGCCTCTACATCTGATCTCAGGTACACGGTGAAAGTCTCAGTGTCATCATGGGGACTTCGTCGTTTAATTTTCCTCAGCTGGTCTAAATCACTAAACAAAGTGGACAAAGAGTTTAGTGCAGGAAAAGGTTCATACTACTCTAATTTCACTTTTATATCTGGGTGATATTCCACATTTTTGATATTATTAATCTGCTATACAAAAAAAGTGAAGTAGTTTACTTGAGTCGAAGAGAAATATACATCACATGAAGCAAGTGATCTCCGTGATACTATTGAAAACCACCGTGTTTTTCACACTCAGAAGTCCAAATAATGTCCTCACACTATGAAATGCTATACACTGAAGACAAAGCAATAACATTAAATAATAAAACATCCAGTCAATGATCTGCATGTAATTGATAATGTGCACATGTGCTAGATGAGGGTTAGTGAATTAGCATCCCTAAATGGGTGTCAGAAGTCATGTGACAAGAAAAGTTAAGAAATTTAACCCCAAAACCTACAAACATAGCACAAGCTGCAAAAAGCTTAAGGTAACAAAGCTACTCTGGGAAACAGATTAATTTCCTGTGCTGACTAACACATTAGGGCATCTACACTGAAAAACATTACAGATTTTTCTTTTTTTTTTTAATACAACAAAAGATTTCATTTTTAGCCCCACAAATTACCCAGCCCTTTTTTTTTCTTTTTTTTAATTTTTTTTTTTTATCCCTTTTGGTCAATCCAGCAAAACTTTAACTAGTTATGATAAATATAAGGCAGAGGACTGAGCATTATTTGCCACTGTATCCTCAGTAAAGACTAATTGTAGTGACACACATTATAAAATGGGGAGGAACAGCAACAGCACAAAAGTTATAAACAAAGCTGCTAAGCCTTTAGATTTAATATGGGTCACATACATAACATGCATGAAATCTGACAGATACCTCAACTAAAACAACACCCAGTAAGACCTGCTGGCAGGTATGGCACACAGTAAAAGGCAGTAAACATGATCAAGTAACAATAGTTAGGTTACAGCAAACCAAATTATATTTTATTCCAAATAACAGACCTCATGCACCATGAAGTTTCCACTGATCTTTCAGAGATGTTCACATCAAATCATCCTGACCCCAAAATGCTGAATGAAGAGTTATTTGACATAACCCCATAAAGCTGCCCTAGAAGTTGGTCTCCCCCCAGCTAGAATTATGGTCATACAACTACAAATAAATTACTTTAAGAAGCAACTGTTGAAACACACAAATTCAGTGCAAGCTCCTTACTGTTCTGTAACAGTAGTAAAAAAGAACTAACTTCAGCCACTTACGATTATGTATACCACAAAAACACTTAGAAAAAGTTGTCATGCAAAATCACTCTACAATCACAATTACTTTTGTTGCACGTATGAACAAATATTCAGAATTTAAATTTCAATTCAAACCCATCATACCTGGATTTAAGACAAAACTCATTAATTGCTCTGACTCCAGTGATGAAGTTATTCTGGGTGTATTTTGGTCCATACTCTCTTTTTTTCAGGACTGCTTTCACTTAAAAACAGAAACAGATAAGCAAGTTAAACCACTCATGAAGACTACAGCACAAACTCCGAAAAGTAATTCAGTCTAGCGTCATATCTCAAAGGTGAGATATGAAAAACAATGCTTGCCAGTGATACAGAAAGGTACAGTGAAGAGAAAGGAATCTTCCTCATTGTAGAAATGAGTAAGAGTAGAATGATTTACCTCCAAAAATGCTACTTGCTACGTCGTAGTTCAGGATGCTCACACATCACACATACCTAATGGCCACTGTCAGCTACTTCTTCAGCTTCAATGTCAGAGATGGTGCTTGGCTACACAGGTAGCATTTATATATGGCAATTTGGAAATCCCTGCTCTAGCAACTGAAATAGCAAAAGACAGCTGCATTTCTATTTTTTCCAATGTTTAACCAATTCTATCTTCTGCAAATCAGATTTTTGACCTTTGAAGGCCATATAGAGAAATGAGACAGAATGTATATGTCATTGTTCTCAACTATTACTTTCAAAATCAGTACTAATTGGGCACTAAGTAGTACTAACATTGGGCATTTATAACAAAAACATACATTCTTTATTTATAATGCTCTGTATGTCTAGAAGATGTACTCACATCAGATTTTCATGCACAAGGAAAAGAATACCACACATATTTAGAAAAATGACAATGGAATTTTAGATTTATGCCATTATTTCCTGCTTATGTATATGTACATAACTTCATCTTTTTTTTCAAATGTAAGTCACTACACAGTCACATCCATTAAAAACATTATACTTATTGGAAGAAGAGTTATGTTTTCTGGAGGATATAACATTACAGAACACAACTGAAAACAAAAAGCTCAAATTCTACCAGAGAGAAGACTTCAGAGCACGCATGAACTTCCTGCATATCACAGGACTGATATGATTTCTCTAGGTAGTCCAGAACTACTACTTATGTCACAGGATAGTTACAGAAAGATACTGCTTCTAAAGATTTTGAAAAAAGACAATGTAGAACTCTGGGAAAAATTATTTCTGAGTTTTGAAACCTTAATGGCAAAATATATTGCTTGACACTCAACAGTGCACTAAGAGTACAGGTATTTTTATTTATCATAATAATCTGATTCTTCTCATCCAGTTTGAACTTGAACAATTTCTTAAGTACCTGAGTAATCACAATCACTCCCGAGTGAAGGTGACAAAAAAAAAAACTCACAGATTTCCTAAAAACAGTCCATCATTCACTAAGGCTAAAATAGGGTGATAATATTTAATCAAGAATGCTTCTCATCTTTTCTTATTTAAAACAGATATATACCCAAATCATATTAACCTTACTAAAAAGTATCTTGTGGATTTATGAAACACTTATTAATCCATCTTTCAGAAACAAAGGTAAACTTCACTAAAATAAATTACTATAATTGTACACGCAGAATATCTCAACAATCCTACTCCTAAGTTCAAATAATTGTATAAAACTAGCAATAAGTGTGGGAAAAAAAATCCATTCGGTATTTCCAAGAGAAAGACAAAGCTCAATAAAAGATGATGTGCATAAAACACTCTGAAAAGCACATTTTTTTAATATTACTAATCCTTTAAGATGTCATTATCTTAGTAACACTTGAATCAGAACACCATCTTAAAATTAGAATTCCACTTCCTAGACACTATCAAAATCCTTAACCTAAATGTTGTTCCTTGTGCATCTATAATCTACAGAAGGAAAACTCTTCTTCCTGAAAGATGTTATCTGTTTTTGCAACTATTTCACAGTAATTTCTCCTAATTACCTTGTATTGTCTGCCTACATGCAACTACGTGACAACAGACCTAAAGAAATCGACATAAAGGATGTAGACAAAAGTGTACAGAAAATATACGTAGACACTGATAATGTTAGGAAAAACTATTATTATTTGATGTTTCTTTAAATTTGAGAAAGACAAGGAGGATTTTGGAACGACTTTTGATACACAGAAAGCTAGGAGTGATCAAAAGCAGTTTTTAATAGCGTAATTCTCAAAACAGAAGAATAGAAACTATTGAAATAAAGATGGAATGAAATAAAAAACATGAAAGAAAATTACGTTCTTAGTTTACCCACTTAAATTTTTAAACAATGTAACTGAAGACAAAAGCATGTATTTTTGCTTATATTGAGTTTGCATGGCAAGGTTTGGTAGTGGGGGGTTACAGGGGTGGTTTCTGTAAGAAGCTGCCAAAGCTTCCCCTGTGTCTGACAGATCCAATCACAGCTGGCTCCAGGACAGACCTGGTCCTGACCAAGGCTGAGCCCATCAGCAGTGGTGGTAGCATCTCTGTGATAACAAGGGGAAAAACACAGCCGGCACAATGGCAACTCCAGCCAGGAGAGAGGAGTGAGAACACGAGAGAAAAGAGCTCTGCAGACACCAAGGTCAGCGCTGGAGGAAGGGGAGGAGGTGCTCCAGGTGCCAGAGCAGAGACTTCCCTGCAGCACACAGTGTAGAACCGTTGTGAGGGAGGCTGTGCCCCTGACAGAGGACCAAACACTGGATCAGGTGGATGCCCAAAGGAAGCTGTGACCCTGTGGGAAACCCACACTGGAGCAGCCCCCTGTGGCCCCATGCAGAGTTGAAGTCCATGCTGGAACAGGTTTGTTGGCAGGATTTGTGATCCCGTGGGTGACCCACGCTGGAGCAGCCTATTCCTGAATGACTGCACCCCATGGAAGAGGAACCCACACTGCAGCAGTTCATTAAGAACTGCAGCCTGTGGGAAGGACTCAAGACGGAAAAGTTCAAAGAGGACTGTCTTCCATGGAGAGACCCCACACTGGAGCAGGGGAAGAATGTGAAGAGTCCTTCTCCTGAGGAAGAAGGAGCAGCAGAGACAATGCATTACAAACTATGCCCAGCTCCCATTCCCCATCCTTCTGCACCACTGGGGGCGAAAAGGTAGAGAAACTTGGGAGTAAGATTAATTCCTGGGAAGAAGGAAAGGATGGGGGAAGGTGTTTTAAGATCTAGTTTTCATTTCTCACTACTCTACTCTGATTTTACTGGCATAAATCAAACTAACTTTCCCCAAGTCAAATCTGTTTTGCCCATGACAGCACTTGGCGAGTGGTCTCTGCCTGTCCTTATCTCAATCCATGAGCCTTTCATATATTTTCTCTCCCCTGTCCAACTGCAGAGGAGAGTGATAGAGCTGTTTGGGTGGGGCCCAGCATCCAGCCAGTGTCAAACCTTCCACGTTACTACAGACACAGACAGGAATATTACAGGACTCAGATTAGGCAGTTCCTGCAGTCAAAATATATTTAGAAGCAACACTGATTAGATTAGCTCAGTACTAAGAAAGAACAGAGGAAGACTTAGAACAAGGAACAGGGGAAGATCAAGTATTCAGCTTAGCCACATTAAGTCTGAGTTGGTGAATGGACATGTCTAAAAACATGCAAGGAGGACAGATCATGATAACAGATAAGAAAATAAATTAGTCTTTTCCTGTATCTTAAATGAAACCAGTAAAAACAAACACAGAAGAGTAATTAGAGGGAATACTCCTATATTGGATTTTTCAGAAACCATTTTCAAATGAATGGATATCACACAAATCTGACATACAAATGTGTTTTAAAAATGTTGTTCACGTAACTTCTTTAAACAATTGAAGAGAAACCACAGTTTCCTTACACACTTTTTTTGACTAATAGTAATCAGCAGTAAAGCTTCGATGCAGTAAACATTTCTTTACCTTTTACTTGAATTGGCTGTTTAGGCAAAGACTGCTTTTGACCTGCATTGGTTGCATCTTGTCCTGTAAAATAAAAGTAAAGATCACTGCAAATATGAAAGTAAAGAGTTTGGTTGACATAACAAAATAAGAATAGGTCTTAATAATGCTTTTCACCCTGACCATTAAAAATATATTTGGTACATTTCCAACATTTAAAACTCTCAGAAGATAGAAACAGTTAAAAAAAAAAAAACTAGACATTTAATACAGCGTTGATCAACAGACTCCTAGCAGCTTGAAGAAGAGCAGAAAGTATCCTGAATTTAAAAAAAAATATTTTAACAGTGTACTTATAGTTTGGGACAAGTTTTTATAGCTTATGCCTGCTGTATGTCAGAGTGTCTCAGAGCTTAATGTTTGGAAAATTATAAAATCCAGTAATTTCAGTGAGATTTCTATTTAGAAACCAGAAGTACTACTGAAAACACAACAAATATTGCACCCTTGTCTCATGTATCTTGACATAACTTTCAGAAAAAAAATTCTTGTAATTCTAACACATCAAACCAACATATCCACTCTTTTGTGCCCTACCATTCTAACACTGGAGGTTTGCCACGCAGCCATAATCATTAACAAAATTAAGAAATACATCATTGAAAGTGATATTTTAAAAATATAAAGATTTTTCAAGCAGGTTAGTGTTATTAATGTGATACTCCTAGCTTAATAGGCTACCCAAACTACTCAAAGATCAGATATTCTTGAAGGTTGGACTATATAACTATCTTTCCATCAGGCAATTAGTTAATGCCCTAACAGCAACTGAGGACTATACCTAATAACAATTCAAATATACCTTCTCGGAAAAATAACACATATAAATTTATACAGTTGATCTTGTTACACAACAAATAAGGCTGCACCATAAATAAACAGCATTCTTTAAACAATCATCCTTACTGGTTACTGTTTGACTTGAAAACAAAAGAAAAAAATCCCTTTGTTGTTCCTTTACTTTCTTTTCTTACCTGGTTTAAAACACCAGACAGCTGATGCATCAATATTCATGAAAAAAAGTTTCCACTACGACTGCTTAGCAAAAACTGAGTAGCACTGTCTTTTCAAAAAATGTGTACAATCATTTATATCATTAAAACAAATATCACAAATACTGTTTAACAAAAGATGGGGTCACAAGATTTCAGATGGGGAAAAAAAAGGCATAAAAATATTAGGATTTATATCCATACACAGGTATCTATGTACATCAAGTACCTTTTTGAAGACTACTACCTCAGTTTATAGACTAAACAAAATCATAGTGCATCACTGAGGAAAAACATACGGAATACTTCAATTCACTCTCACATTCACTGGTTTTGAGACAAGTAGAGGTTGATATGATAGAACCTTCAAAACTGAACAAACATTTAAGATCCACTTCTGTACTTCCAAATATCAGATATGTAATACTCTTAGCTGGCTACAGTTACTAGCTTTTAAAGACTGTTGCAAGCCTCAGGACTTCACAAGTTACTGAAGAAGGAAGGAATATCTGCTACCCTGACAATAAAGAGAAGGAAATTTTCTTTAGAAGACCACTCGGTTGAAGACAAAAGCACAAAGAAAGACAGCTCTTATTTTAAAAAGCATCTGTTATCTTTTAAGCACAGTAGTCTTCCAAGCCTGTATCTGTGCAGTCCTACAGTTAATAAGCATCAAAAATCGAGGATGCTATGATGGAGCAAGGGCAAGACAGTTCTGAATTTCACAAGCACCTATCAAGCACAAGATTGACAACTGATCTGAACAGCAAGGAGGGCCAGGTTATGTACAATGTATCAAATGTTTAATGTGCACACTGCAGTTCTAACTAGCGCCAGATTAGAAAGCTCCAGCAGATGAATCAGCTCAACCTTCTTTACCAGTCATTTATAGCCTGGCCTGGAGAAGTCACAATGCTCAACAGCCACACTCATTCAATCTTTATCATTAGTTCATTTCACACAACATATCTGAAATACTAGCAAAAAAATTCAAATAAGCAAAGTGGTGGAAGATGAGTAATGCATTCCATCTCTTATCCCTTAAGTTACATAAGCCTTTCAACATTCACCTTTTATCCTGGCCACTTTAAATTTGATTCCTCTAAACTTAAATCCTATAAATATCAGAATGCCAATGAAATAAATTTCAGCATTCCTCCCCACTTATGCATTTGAAATTCATATATAAAGGCCCACAATATACAAATACTAAGAACTCCGCAACGATAATATCACACAATTGAAAGAAAACAGTTATCACTAAATACCTTCAGTTTTTACATTTTTATAGATACTCTTTATTTTAGCTTAGTACTACCTGTTTCAGCCTTATTTAGGGTTTCTTCATGGGCTGACTTATTTGTATCTTCTGATCCAAGATCTTTTTTCTGACCGTTGGATGTATAAACTCTCACTTGACTCATCAACTGCACAGGCAGGCGATTGCATGGCAGAATATAAGATAGGTTTCCAATTTTCATTGAAGCTTTCCATCCTAACAAGGGGAGGAAAAGCAGCTGTTTCAGACAACCATTTTGGAAGGAAAAAGAAGGAAAAAGCAAAATTGGAGTATATGGCACGTTTTCACTGCCTCTCTTCAACCAACCACTTTTAAATTTCATTTTAACACTAGTGATTTTTACCCACACAATCCAGTGTGGATTTTTTCCCAAGACCTGTGGATGATCTTAAGATGTTAAAAAAAAAAACAAACAAACACAACAACACATACACAAACCAAAACATAAACAAAAACCCAAACAAAAACAAACAAAAACCAACCAAAAAAAAAAAAACCACAAAGCTATCTGACAAGATTGGCTTACTGATACATTAAGTCACATTTTAGTCATGTTCCCCCAAAATCTTTAAAAACCAAGTATTGATAAAAGAATAAATACAGATCAGTACAAAACTATTAGCCAGTGCTGCCATTTCATACAAACCTCTGTACAAACCACAGCTTACCAATTAAGAAAAACTGAGATGTGTGCATTACCCACTTGCTACAGAAATAGTGTAGAAAAGCACACAATATTGTATAAAATACTTTTTAAAAGCCCATTGACAAATCACCCTAGATAGGCAATCTTCCATTTCAAAAGATTAGCCAAAAGTAGAGGTGCATGAAATACAGACCAACCTGTATCAGCAACCAGTTTCTTTTAGAGAACATAAACACTCCTGTAGAGAGGGCATATAACTCCTCCACCTAGAAGTGCAGCAGGGAAACTGGCTGCTTTGGAAAGCACTCACTAAAAGAATAAATAAGGTGTTTTTAAATAAGTAAGCAGTACTGGCAAATCAAGTCATGCAAAGCATGACCACTCATATATGAATAACACACTGCTCACAAAAAAGGTACTATTTTATATAAGTGTTTATTCTGTAAAAGTCCCAACAGCTTTCCTTTTTTTTAACCTTCTGCAGTACCAAAGCACCTGCACATGTGCATGCACTGACCTGACCCTTACTGATGGAACAATTTCACCAAAAAGGGCAGACAACTAACACTTGTCGCAAATGGGACAAAAGCCCTGAATACTCAACACAGTTCAGTGACTCAGCTTATTGGTTACAAATTTATAAAGCACTACGATAAATATATGGCACAAGATGAGCAGTGCTGTTTCCTAAGCTTTGGTGTTACTGCAGCAGTTGAAAAGGGTAAACTTCATCAGCACTTTTAGAGGACATTTTTCTAACTCATCCACATACACACGAAACCCTTAAAGGGTATTTGCTGCAATTCAGCCGTCAGTGGCTACACGAAGAGGGACAAAACTGAGGAGAATTCAAATGTCATGAGATCTGTGGCCTAAAGTAAAAGCCGGGACTCGCTCCTCATACCAACACAAAGCATGTCAGGCCGCGCTTCATTTTATGCAATTCCTGCAAACTTCAGCCCCAACACGGGCATGACGTGACCGCCTTGCGTCAGACGGGGCTGCCACGGCCCGGCCGAGGGCACCCAGGGCCCGGCCCTGCGCTCGCGACAAAAACTTAGGCGTTTTCCCTCCTGTTGTCCAAAAATCTGGACGTTTTTCCTTCTTTTTTAAAGCCGGCTCGCAGAACGCAGCCGGCGCTCCCGGCCCGCCGGTGCCTGCGGTCGAGAACAGTGCTGCTGCCTCGGGAGGAACGCCGGCACTCGCTGTGCCCCAGGAGAGCGCACAGCTCCATCACAGCTCCCTGCGAGCCCCGGCCAAGGCGGTGCGGCGGGCAGGGGGCTCCTCGCGGGACTCACCGTGGCAGGAGCGGGGCCCCGGCGCCGCCTGGCACCGCAGGTACAGGCGGTAGAGGCCGCGGCAGCCCCGCCGCTGGGCGGCCAGGGCCGGCATCATGGCGGCGGCCGCTCGGCAGCGGCCGGCGGGAGGGCGGCGACGCGCATGGGACGAGGCCGGCGCGGCGGCGGAGCCCGCTGGCCCCGGGCGGCGGCGGTAGCCGGAGGCCGGCGGTGGTAGCCGGGAGCAGGCGGAGGGCGGCGCCGCGGACCCGGATGTGCGGGGGAACCGCGGGGCCCGGGCGGGCGGGACCCCCAGCGGCCGCCGCTGACTCAGCCGCTCCGCCCGCCGCGCCTGCGCCGCGGCCGCGCCTGACCCCGGGGAGCGGTGGGAACTCGGCCCAGAGCGCGGCCTCCTCCGCCTCGGGAGGAGCTCCTGCTCTGGGACTGTTCATTTACTCCTGCTGGTAAGGGGATAACGCGTACGGGCGGGCGTAACATACGTTACGTGCTAAGGCTGTTAATACAACTAAAACCGCGTAAAACAGTGGGGATTTTACAGGATCACAGAATCAATTAGGTTGAAAAGACCTCGGAGATCGTTGAGTCCAATCTATGACCAGTCACTACCATGTCAACTAGACTATGGCACTAAGTGCTATGTCTAGTCTTTCCTCAAACATCTCCGTGGACGGTGACTCCACCACTTCCCTGGAAGCTCATTCCAATGTCTAATCATCCTTTCTGTGAAGAAATTCTTCCTAATGCCCAACCTAAGCCTCCTCTGGCACAGCTTAAGACTGTGTCCTCTCATCCTGTCACTTGTTACCTGGGAGAAGAGAGCGACCCCCACCTGGCTACAACCTCCTTTTAGGTAGTTGCAGAGAGTTATAAAGTCACCCCTGAACCTCCTTTTCTCCAGGCTAAACAACCTCAGCTTCCTCAGCTTCTCTTCATAAGACTTGTGCCCCAGACCCTTCACCAGCTTCATTGCCCTTCTCTGAACATAGATAACATTAAAACCACATATCCTAAACCTGTTTGCGTGATTTCTTTGTGAAAATGAAATCCTACCCTAAGCCCTCCGTTAAAACGCACTTCTCAAATCAGTGCTGATAAAACGAAATCTGATTCAAACCGATGTCTTTCTCCAGGAAGAGTGCCCTGGAGCTGATCCTGTTCTCAATGGTTGTAAGGGCTGCCTGTGCCCAGCTGTGACACCTCCTCCTGCTCCGCTCACCTACAGCCTGGCTCAGGACCATACCTGTAATCAGTCCCACTGGCATCAGATTACACACTTTCTTTAAAAAGTTTTTTTTTTCAAAATAGCTTTGATACTAGTTTACATGATGCTGAGAAAACATCTTCCGCTTCCTTGTCTTCATTCGCACCCCGGGAGGAACATGGGAGCTCACCAGAAGTTAGCTTGGCAGGGAATTTGGATAATTAATGTACCTGATAATCCACAAAGTATCTTCTCACTGAGGAGAGTGATAATGGTGCTCGTCATTAACACACCCAATTAAATTTTGAACAAGGTTTACTGGCACGTCTTTACCACCCAGCTACTGGGTAACACTGCCAATAAAAGTTTTCCTAGAAGCACAGTGGAGGCAGATCAAAGTAAAAGACTTGCATGAAATAATTAACACCCATCTTCCCAGTAGTCCAATTGCAGCCATACCAAGTGAATCAGGAGTATAGCAACAGATGCTGTATCATTAAGTACCAGATGTACAGCAATGGAGTTAAATACTTAATAGATTGCAAGTTGTAAAGTAGCACAGGTGAGGTCAATTCACCGATTTTAGTTGGAGTCTAACATGCACTTGATATATGTTTTGCTGGCTTCTTGTTATTTTGGCATGAGCTTAACAGCAAAAAAAAAAAAAAAAAAAAAAAAAAAAAGAAACATGAGATCAAGAGTTCCCTATTTTTTCCTACATAAAGGTATTTGAAAGAAGATAAAAATTCTTGAAACATTTGCAACTCC